AAACTATGTCCCTCCTCCACCTGACGATCGCAAGCGAAAGCGTAGAGAGGAACTCGCTTCTATTCATAACGATCCAGCTGAGAATGCTCATTTAATTTGTCCAACTGAATATGGACCGCAAGTCGCTAACTCTCTAAAAGAAATTACAGAAAAGGAAGTTCCGTTTGATTTATATGCAGGCCTGTTAGAAAAAATCGTGGAAATGGGAATACCTGGTGCTGTACTTGTCTTTCTACCTGGATGGAATTTAATAAGCATGCTGCGAAAATATCTCCAGTCTCATCCTCGTTTTGGTTCATCTGAGTATCTGATTCTGCCATTACATTCATTGGTTCCCAGAGAGGATCAGCGTCTCGTTTTTCGTATGCCTCCGCCAGGAGTCCGCAAAATCGTACTCTCCACTAACATAGCGGAATCATCAATCACAATTAATGACGTTGTATTTGTTATTGATTCATGCCTATCTAGAATGAAACTTTTTACTACCCGCAACAATATGACAAATTACTCTACGGACTGGGCCAGTCTCACTAACTTAGAGCAAAGAAGAGGTCGAGCTGGACGAGTGCGGGAGGGATATGCCTTCCATCTATGCTGGTATCCTACATTTTCGTATCATTGCTTCATATCTAATTACTCTTAGTTGCATCTATTAAATTTCTATATTTTTGCTTAATTGGCACTCTACTTCCATTTTCGACAAAATTTGGGACTGATGTTTTTAGCAAAAATCGTCTTGAGAGACTAGAACAGCACGCGACTCCTGAAATCCTCCGTACTCCTCTACACGAACTTGCCCTTCTGATAAAGCTTCTTCGACTGGGTAGTGTTAACGAATTTTTGAAGAAGGCTCTTCAGCCACCTCCTTTAGATGCTATTATCGAAGCCGAATTTGCGCTAAGAGGTAAATTAGCATATTTTTAATCTGATGAACACCTGTTCTATTTTTATCCTTATATTAATATTTTTCATCAAACAAATTTGGTAGAAATGAAGGCTTTTGACAAAAATGACGAGCTTACGCCGCTTGGTCGAATTTTGGCTCGTTTGCCAGT